CTGACGGCGCCTCTTTAACCTGGTCACCTCCCGCTCTCAGAGGTGTTTCTCCTGAAAAGAGTGGGAAAGGGACTAAGCCAAGGCTTTCTGCAGGCCACACAAGGAGCTTGTGGCTGCGCAGGGAATTTGAATCCCATCTGCCGCAGGCAAGGGTAACATCTAAACAACTGCTCCACCCTCCTTCCTTCCCTGAAAAGATCCCACACTCTCTTCTGCTCCCAAATAAATAATCTTTCGGTGACCTTTGCTCTGCCAGCTTGCAGGATTCGTTTTCCAGGATCCGTTAACGACAGCTCTCCCTGCTTTCCCAGGAGTTGTGTCCAGGATCCGTCTGGGGCCTGGTCCCATCAGGTGCTGCCCAACCCTTCTGGATGCCAGCTGAGTCCCGCAGGGAACCATGCCCACACCACATGCCCATTACCCTCATTCACAAATAACGGGCAGGACTGCGAAACGGTCGCAGTTCTGCTGTTCTTCCCACCTATACAGTTCAGGACACGTTCCCCAAGAGAGAGGACGGCACTCACCCACGGCCACCTCACGAGCCTGAAGTAGGATCCCAGTCCTACTCCCTTCTCAGGCTCACGGGAGGAAAAGCAAAGGTCCGTTGGGTTGGAAAAGGCCAACCTGGGAGCAGCTGAATGGAAAGGGACTGCAGGGTCCCTGCTTGTGGGGAGCAGACCTTTGAACTTCTGCAGCAACCCAAAGTACATGAGCAGGGCTGCTCAGAACTGGGACCTGCAACACGCCAAGCCCTTGGCAAGCACCTCATCCCCAGTAAAAGACACCTAACCAGCAGCTTGAAACCCAAGAGCAAGCATCCTGCTGCTGACCTCCTCCGAAATTACCTCTGTCTAGCTGTGAGTCTCTGCCTCAGTTTCCCCTTCCCCCATATCCACATAGCCTATCTGCCATGCAGTGGGGGCGATGCACGCAGTGCACAGCCCAACAGCTCGGTCTGCATCTCTGGCCCACCCAAAAGGACCGAGCAAACATACTGGGGGTCATCGTTTCACCCCTGCTTTCCCTGAGCAGTGCTGGGAAATGGGTCACACAGCCACCAGGCTGGTACGTGCCTGCGACAGACCTGCCCTTTACTGATTACCTTCCCTAGGCTTATTGCTAATACGCTGCCTGCTCCGTCTCATTCCAGCGTGGGAATGAATCATCCTACCTTTGAATGCTCGCTCTCATTTTCCCTTCCTTCACAGGCTACCCAGAAACAAAAGAACCAAGAGCAAAGGGGTGGGTGAGAGATCCCCACCGTGCTGCCAGCTCTGCTCTCAGCACTCCCCTTCCACCCCATCACACACATTTTGGCTGGTGGCGGGTCCCCTCAGCACCTGCGTGGGGACCCTGGAGCAGCCGGCTCTGCTGCTGCAAAGGGCACAGGGCTCATCCCTTCCTGGGCTGCAGAGGTGACCTCCATCTCCTTGAGACAGACCTGCTGCTACGCCCTGATCCAGACCCAGACCCTCTTCCGCACCGCGCTGTCCCTGGGGTGGGTGGGAATAATCTCTGGGAGCAGTGGGGAGGGGGGTTGGATGTGTTTGTACTTGCCTTTCCTGGAATATACTGCAGGATTTTGTCTGTGGTCGTATCTCTCTCCTGCCCTCCTTCTATACCAAAAAAGCTGGGCAGTTTTTTCTTGCCATTTTGTCTACAGAGGGAGAAAAAAACCAAAACACACATGCGAACACAGATCTAGACTGATGCATAGTGAATTCTGCCCAGAAATAAGGAAGCCAGAAAGCTAAGCAAGCAATTTGTCATAGGCTTTTTAATCATCCCAGGCCAGCAAAGGGGCGATACACAGCCTGGGAGAATTGCAATGGGCGTTGTGCTGCACTTGCTGATGTTGCTTTGCTTTTTTACATGTCTTTGCATAACCCAACAATCCGGTAGGCTCATCTGTGTCGCCAAACCGGTGGAGGGACCAGATGTTCCATTGCAAAACACAAAGCCCAAATCGAGTCCTGACAACTATTCCAAAGCCCCTAGAGTAGAGATGCATATGTACACGTACACCAGCATATATTCTCAAACAGGTTTTATTTCTATCTTTGTGGTTTTCCTCTCTCTTTCTTCCTTTCTTCCACTCCCCGCAAGGCCCCCAGCTCCTCCTTGCCTGCACACCATAAATGAGCAGTTACCACTACGGTTTAAGAAGCACTGAGGCTGTTTTGCTGGGACTTCCCAGCAGTTGCGCTCTCTTTCAACCAGACTTCAGCAGAATCCAGGCTTATCTCCACGGAGAGCCATCAGCGTGGGAAGCTGGGAGTCACTGGGAACAGGAGGTGCTCTGGGGCTTGGCTGCTCCACTTGCAGCTACCCAATGTCAGCCCTCCGGGGTCCGACCGCCCCAAGCGATCCCCTCTCTTTTACCCCACGGTAGCTCCACAGATTCCTACAGGTTTGCTCCCAATTTACGGCAGCGCAGGAGACCAAGGGGACAGTTTCAGCGTCTCCTCTTGATTAGAAACCCCTCAGCCTAGCAGAGTTTATGGGGTTCGTCTCAAAGCCCCGGCACACATGCTGAACCCAGCGTAGATGGGGCCGGCGGGTTGGTGAGGAATCACCCTGGTTCCCAACGGAGCTCCTTTCCAGCCCGGAGCACTCAGGATGGGGAGGGCTGTGCTCCATAGGCGTTAGGTAACGGCAGCGGCACCGTCGCCGCGCTGATGGGAGCACGGGCAGCGGGCAAGGCAGCGCGCAGGGAAGCTTGCTCTGCGCTCCCCCGGAGGCTCTATTTTGGGACAACCATCCATCGCTGCGGTACCTGAGCGCTCCCCCGGCCAGCCCAGCACCAAAGGATTTCAGGGACATTTTCTATTGTGTCTTCCTCCAGGGTTACAAAAGCAACTCAAATCGTATGGGGCAAGAGTGTCGGGATTTGGGGCTTTCCCTCTGAAGTAAGAGGAGGGGGATGGGGTTTTTTTTCGCAACGCAGCACCGCAACTCTGGCTGTCGCGAATTAAAAAAAAAAAAAGGCAAGTGAAAACAAGGAGCGTCTGGCTTTCTGCACCTTGCCCTGCCTGTCCCACAGGGGGGAGTTTTAATTTTCAAAGTGAAATGAAATAAATCGCATTTCTCCTGGGGGCTGTGTGGCTGGGATGCTCTGCCAGCAGAGCCCTGGAATTCTTTCCCCGGCACTCGTGGCGAGCCGATCGCTGCCCAGCACCCTGCGAAACCACGCAAAAGCCCGATTCTGCTGAGCGGGGAAATACCTCCCGGGTTCCCCGAGTGGGGCTCAGCTCCTTGCCCAGTTCTGCGTGGCGAGAAAGTCCGCGGGGAAGACCAGCCCCACTCGAAAAGCAGTCCGAAGCAAAAGCAAGCGTACTCACCCTTTCTTCAGCGAAGGCTTCCTTCGGAAAGAGCCTCTGAGCCGCCCGGGTGCCTGAGGAACGCAAGTTATGTTCCCCATGCCGGCAGCGGCTGGGAGCGCCCCGGCCGAGCGGGGAGGTTTGTGGGGTGCCGGGGT